GAGCGCCGCGCGCGCGGGAAGCGTCCGCGCGCGCGGGTGGACGCCCGCGAGAGACGGTGGAGAGTGCGTGCTGCGCGCCGAATCGGTCGTGCGTGAAGCGGCGGCGTCGAGGCGGGGTGGAGCGAAGACGCGTGGCGTTTCGGCGGGCGGTGAGCGAGGTGATGGGCGAGGCGGACGCGGACGTCGATCGGACGCCGAGAGGAGAGCCGCTTCGGTGTTCGTGCTGTGGGTTGCACATCGTTGGATACGTGTTCGCGTGCGGGTCGTGCGCGACGACGACGGAGGGTGGGTTTTCGTTGTGCGCGATGTGCTTCGCCGCGCACGCGCAGCTGAGCGCGAATCCAGAGTTTGGACGAGCGCACGGGATCGACTTCGTGGTGCACGATCACGATCCGAGGGCGTTCGAGCGAGGTGGCGAGGACGATCAACTAATGTTGAATGAGATTTTACGGGATAGGCGCGAGCTCATGGTGAACGGACGGGGCGGGAGTGTCGAGGAGGCGGCGAAGACGGCGTGTTCGAACGAGCGAGAGCCGAGCGCGGGATCGGACGACTCTGACGCTTTGGCGTACTGTGCCGAGTCGGCGTGATGATGCATTAATACCGATACGTTTTGGGCGTTGAATTTTGTGTAGAGCCTTTGTATAAAGAACCAATATTTTTTCTCATGACAACGAAATCACTTTGTCTTCGCAGCGGCGGCTCTGCCTCGCGCGATGGCGACTTCAAACATTCGCTTCAAGTCGGCGTTGTCGCCGTCTACTTGCAATCCCTCAAAAAATGCGAGCGCGGAATCTTCATATTCTTCGAGCTCGAGCGCCGCCTCACCCTCGCGATACCACGCCTTGATGAACATCGGATCGAGCGTTCGAGACGCCCTGGCGTCGTCTAGCGCGTCGGCAAACTTGCGCAGCTTGAGACGCGCCGCCGCGCGATTGGCCCAAGTTTTCGCACAGGATCCGTCTTGCGCGAGCGATTCGGAGTATAGACGCACTGCATCTTCGTACTTACCAGCTACGAACGCCTCGTTGCCCTCTCGCTTGGTTTTTGCGGCCGCGACCGCGTCGCGCGTCACAAACTTGTCAGCTCCGTCCTTGGTGCCCGAGCCGGAGCCATTTGAGTCTTTACCCGTCTGCTCATCGCGTTGCATCGCCGCCAGCTTGGCGGCGACGCGCGATATAATAGCACTAGCATTCCACTCGCCCGAATCGTCGGGTTTCGTCACCGGAAGAAGCGCTTCGACGACGCCTTGGCGCCTCGTCGCAGCGGCGGCGTGAATGGCCTTCATCCCGCTCGAGTCCTCAGCGTCGGCGTTCGCGCCACCTCGCAAGAGTGCGGCCACCATGACCTCCGCGCAGCTCTCCGTCGCGGGATGCGCGGCGGCGATGTGTAAGGCGCTCATGTTCCCTTCTGGACCCGCGTTCACGTCCGCTCCCGCTGCGACGAGCACCTCCACGCTTCGGACGTCTCCGCTCGCGCACGCGAGCGCCACAGCGGCCACGCCTGCGTCCAACCTGGCATCGTACTTCGCGCCGTGTTCGAGCAATGCCTCAATCATTCCCGAGCTTCCGCGCATGGCCGCCACCAGCAACGGCGTTCCGACTTGCGAACACCGCTGCTCCACCGCCTCTGACATTGTCAACCCGTACCGTCCGCTCGTCAACGTCTTCAACGCCGCCGCGCACTTCGCCTTATCTCCACCGATCCCTCGGGCGTGCGCGCCCATGACGACATGATGCACGCACGACGCCCCGCTCGCCGTCTTCGCCCTCGCGTCCGCCCCGAGTTCGATCAACGCCCGCGCCGCGTCTTCCCGTCCGCTCGCGCACGCCGTCATGAGCGCGGTGAACCCCTCCGCGTCTCGCGCGTCCGGTTCGCACCCAAACTCGCTCACCAGCGTCTTCACCACGTCCACGTCTCCTCGCTCCGCCGCGGCGTGTAAAACCTTGCGTCCATCGCCGTCGGCGATCGTGGGAACGATGGAGGCGCCGTCGGCGAAGGCGGCGCTCGCCCGTCGAACATCCGCGCTCGTTCCCGCGCGCACGGCGTCTATGAACGCCTTCAGCGCCTCGACGTCGCCCCGCGACGCCTCGCGCGCGGTCGTTCGCGACGTCATCGCCCCGCGGCGGCGTGCGACGGCGCCGTGTGTCGCGCTCGCGGGTTTTCCGCATTCGTCTTCGTCCGCGTTCCACGCGCGTCGCGTCGACGTCACACGTCGAGGCGCAGACGTCGGCGCGACGACGCGCGCGCGGTGCGCCCATCGATCGACGCGCGATCGACGCGACGGCGATCGACGCGACGGCGACGCGGCGACGGAGCGTCGGCGGCGGTGGATTCGGTTTCAATTCGCGCCCGCACGCATCGCATCGTTTCAACGCATTTCGTCTTCGTGACGCGTCGGTCGGCGGTGGTGCGGCTCCGCGAGCGGTAGACGCGGACGAGGAGGTGTGGTTGAGGGAATCGTCGACGCGCGCGGGCGGACGAGGGGGTGCGCGGGCGAGATGAGTCACGAACTCGATGGGTGGATCGCCCAGCTCCGTCGTTGCGAACCGCTCGACGAGGACGACGTGCGACGATTGTGTCAGATGGCGATCGAGATCATGGTCGAGGAATCGAACGTGCAGATGATCGACTCGCCGGTGACGATATGCGGGGACATACACGGACAGTTTTACGATTTGCTCGAGCTATTCAAGGTCGGAGGCGACTGTCCGGATACGAATTATTTGTTCATGGGGGACTTCGTCGACCGCGGGTTCTACAGCGTGGAGACGTTTTTATTGTTATTAGCGCTGAAAGTGCGATACCCGGATCGAATGTATCTCATCAGGGGAAATCACGAGTGTCGACAGATCACCCAGGTGTACGGGTTTTACGACGAGTGCCTTCGAAAGTATGGGAGCGTAAACGTGTGGAGGTACTGCACGGACGTCTTCGATTATATCTCTCTCTCGGCGCTGATAGATAACAAGATATTCTGTGTTCACGGGGGGTTGTCGCCGAGCATCACCACGATTGATCAGATTAGAACGATCGATCGCAAGCAGGAGGTGCCGCACGAGGGCGCGATGTGCGATTTGCTCTGGAGCGACCCGGAGGACGTCGCGGGATGGGGATTGTCGCCGCGCGGGGCGGGTTATTTGTTCGGCGACGACGTGTGCACGTCATTCACGCAGACGAATGGGATCGACATGATCGCTCGAGCGCACCAGCTCGTGATGGAGGGGTACAAATGGATGTTTAACAAGCGGCTTGTCACGGTGTGGAGCGCGCCGAATTACTGCTACCGATGCGGGAACGTCGCATCAATCTTAGAACTGGATGAGAATTTGGCGCACGACTTCAAGGTTTTTGAGGCGGCGCCGCAAGAAGCGCGCGGAGCGCCTTCGAAGCGCGTGGCACCAGACTACTTCCTGTAACTTTCATACACTCTTAGACTATTGCCGACGTCAACGCTTTCGACATAAACTCAACCCATCACCCACGGGAAGGAGTGTGTACGTCACTCGCTCGTCCGTCGCAACGAAGTCGTTAAAAGCCCTGATCGCCTCCGTCTGTTTATCCGTGACCGTAGCGTCGGCAACCTTGCCGTACCACAGCACGTTATCGACGACGATCAACCCGCCCGGGCGCACGAGCCTCAACAACGATTCGTAATACTCCCTATACGCCCGTTTATCGGCGTCTATGAACCCCATGTCGAAACTATTCTCCCCATACGTCTCCAAAAGCTCCCTCACGCTCTCCTTGGCGTCGCCGTACTTCTCCTTGACGACGTCGTCCACGCCCGCGCGGCTCCAGTACCGTCTCGCCACGCGCAGCGCGTCCTCGTCCCTATCACACGCGTACAGCGTCCCTCCCGGTCGCATCGCGAGCGCCATCGCGATCGAACTGTACCCGGTGTACGTCCCAATCTCTATAACTCGACGCGCGTCCATCAATTCGACGCACAGCGCGAGCAACGCGCCCTGCTCGGGCGCCACCTGCATGCGCGCCCCTCGCAGCGCGCTCGTCTCCTCTCGCAGCGCCCGCAGGACCTCCGCCTCGCGCGTGCGCCGTAAGAGATACGTATACAGACCCTCGTGCAGCGCTAACGGCGCCGTGTTCCACGGTCCCGTGCTCGCCCGTTCGCTCGACGACGACGCGCCCACCGCGCGACGTCGTCCCACGCCGCCGCCCGAGCGCACGGACGGGCGCCGGGACGCACGCGCGCGCGACGCCCCCCCGTCCGCGCGCGCGATCGTCCTCGCGCATCGCCCCAGGGCGCCGCGCGCGACCGACGAAGCGCGCATGCGCGGTGGACGCGCGCGCGGCACAGACGTCGACGGGCGATCGAAAGGTCATCGAAAGGTGACGACTCGAAAGGCGTCGACCGGTGGGATCGAGGCGCGCGATCGATCACCGGTCACCGATGGGGGCGCGGGGTGACTCGAAATGTAACGCATCGCCGCAGAAACGCTCGCGCGGTGGGGCGGATGACGAGGGAGACGACGACGACGACGACGGCGGCGGAGACGACGAGGGAGACGACGACGACGGGTGCTCGCGATGGCGCGAGCGGCGAATCACCGCGAACGATCTGGTCGTATCGAGATGAGTTTCACGGGATGGCGGGGTACGACTACTCGAAAGGTTTGAGGTACACCAAGGACAAGATAGCGCTGATGACGCGGGCGAACGAGCGATTAATGGACGTGTACAAGGAGTGCGATATGCACATCGATGATCAAGAGGAGCGAGCGTTGAATATGCTGCGTCGAACGCGGGCGAAACCGATGCGGGCGCCGGACGAGCCGGCGCCGTTGACGCTGCGACCGTTCGGGGCGAAGCCTGGAGACGAGAGCGGAGACGTGCAATACACGTACATGAACGAGTTGACCACGGTTGGTGACGTAATGGAAGATGTCGCGGAGATGGAAGGGACGTTTCCGAGCGCGATCTCCCTCGTTCACGCGGGGAAGAAGCTTTATCCTCCGATTTTCACGCTGAGCGACTGCAACGTGCACGCTGGGTACGTCGTGTACTGGATCGTGGACAAACACCTCGTTCATCTCGACTGAGACGCACGCCAACGAGGATAGCTACCAGTAGTGATTCTGAATTTTGTATTTTATCTACTCTCTACGATTTAAGGGGCTAGGCCTACGGTGCTACTGCAGTCTTCGCTAGTCTTGTTTTGCATCGGCACGACGCGACCTGCTAAACTTTGATACACTCATGATGATTTGGTTCGACAGGATCGTCTGCGCCAATGCGTGCACGATTGTGATCGCGAAATAGAAGTTTGCATTCGCCACGCGCGTGTGAATCCACATGTACCACGTTAAGGGACTAAGCAACGCGACATATAAGAATCCGGCGACGATCCATGCACCATGCTTGAAGTACACGAGCGGATTCCCGCGGTCATCCGCGGCGATCACCGGGAGCAGTGACGTGTACGTGACGATGTCACCAACCGTGGGATAGGGTGCACACGTTGCGATAGAGATCAAAGCGATCACGAGAGCGACCAAGGGTTGGTCTGGAAATCGAATCGTCGCCGCGAGCGACAGCCCGAAAGGAACCACGAAGAACCCAACGACGTAAACAAGTCGAAACTGATCGTAAATCGTTGTGAACACGTACCAGTGCAATCCTAGGTTCGGCGTTTGATCCTCGCTGTGCACGGCGAATGTCACGGCGGCGCGCCACCACGGTAAGAAATCGTCACCCATGGCGACGAACGATGCAAGCGCAGTGGAGGCAAACCCGCCTACGAATTTCATCCCACCAATCATCGCACGCCCGCGAATCGACGTTGCCAACAATACGGGCGCGATCGCAATCACGTGCGGATTGACCTGCGCCGCAAGCGCGAGCGCGCACCCGCTCGCGACGTCTCTCTCGCTCGTCGCCGCCCACGCGCTCGCGTACACGCCCGCGCGCGCCGCCGACGACGTCGACCCCGCGAACGCGGACAACCACCCCAGTGGATTCCCCAGGTGCATCACCGCCGCGAATCGAACCTTGTCCGATTCCTCCGCCGCGTCCTTCATCGCGCGCGAGCGCACCATCGCCATCACGAACGCCACCGCGACGCAATCGAACGCCACCGCGCACGCCGCTCGCCACGCGACCCCTCCGCTCGCCGTCCCTCCCACGTACACGAACGCCGGATGGCCGTGATACGCACTCCCATCGTACGCCGACGATACGCCGAGCGCGCGCACCGCGTACGCGGCCTCGCGAGCGCGTCTCACGGAATCCGTCGCCGAGCTCAACTCGATGCGTCGCTCGAGCGCCTCTCTCGCGCTTTCCGGAACGATAAACGCGAGCGCGACGACGCGAGCGAGCGTGAGCGTCAACGCCGCGATCGTCGCGCGCGCGTCGCGCGACATCGCGATCGCACGCGCGCGGTGAGTCGACGAAAGTGTGAATGTGACGTCGACACGGCGCGAGCCGCACATCGTGACGCCCTGCATGCGCGTGGCCGCCGTCGTCTCGCGCGGCGCGTCGTCGTCGGCGATGCGAGCGATGTCATCGAGCGCGTCGACGCGGTCGTGCGAGCGAAGCGGCGCTCGAGCGACGTTGAAGAGCGAGAAGATGTGTTTCGGCGGCTCGTCGCGCGTTTTCCGCGCGCGCGCTCACGGCGCGGTCGGGCGACGGGCGGTGACGACGGAGGCGCGCGTGGCGGGTATAATCGATGTGAAACGCGTGACGGAAGTCGCGGGCGCGGCGGCGCTGGAGGTGTCGAAGCAAGTCCGAATGCGCGGCGTCGAGGCGCCGGACGTGGAGAAGTCGTACGTCGCGCGAAGCGCGACGACGGAGGTGGATGCGGACGGATTACCGCTTGTGTACGACAAGGAAGCCATTCAAAAGTATTGGGATAAACAGGGGGGGGCGCTGCAGCGACGGTGGGGGGAGTTTTTGTCGCTCTCGGTGCCGTTTCTGACGAAGATTGCGACGCTCGCCATCACGGGTGGGAGCGCGGAACTGTCGAAGAACGATCGCGTGCTCGCTCGAGACGCGCGAATCATCATCGAGAAGCTCGGGCCAACATATATTAAAGCTGGACAGATGATGAGCGTGCGACCGGACGTATTGCCGCAGGCGGCGCTGGATGAGTTGGCAGTGTTGCAGGACAGTGTGAAGCCGTTCGACACGCCCACGGCGATTGATACAATCGAGAGCGAGCTCGGCGGGCCGCTCTCGGAATTTTTCGACGAGATCAGCGAGGTTCCGGTCGCGGCGGCGTCGTTAGCGCAGGTGTATCGTGCCAAACTCAAGAGTACGGGTGAGTACGTTGCCGTCAAGGTGCAGCGCCCAAAGATTTTAGACACCGTCTCGAAGGATTTGTACGTGTTGAGACGCGCGGCTGAAGTGTACCAGGGGCTCATTGAGCGATTTGCCCCGCAGCAGCGCACGGATTACGTCGGATTGTTGAATGAGTGGGCAGTCGGTTTTTACACCGAGCTCGACTTTTTGAACGAGGCAGCGAACCAGCAGAAGTTGCGCGACTTGTTGGCGCAAGAACAAGTCAAGGACATTTACGTCCCAGAGGTGAAGCACGAACTATGCACGCGACGAGTGCTCGTCACAGAATGGATTGACGGCGTGAAGCTCAGCGATTGCCCTTCAGAAGAGATTCGCGACCTCGTCGGAATAGGTCAGGAATGTTTTCTCGTCCAGCTCCTGCAGGTGGGCTTCTTCCACAGCGACCCGCACCCGGGCAACTTGATGAAGCTTAACGATACGTCCAAGGGTAAGCTAGCGATTTTAGATTTTGGTCTCGTGGCGTCCATCCAGCAGGAAGATATGGACACCATGGTGAGCTCGATCATTCACCTCGCGAACAAGGACTACCCGTCCTTAGTGGACGACTTCATCGATCTCAAAATCCTGCCACCAGACTGCGATCGCGCCAAGGTCGTGCCGCTCATGGACAAGGCGCTGTCTCCGTACGTGAAGGGCGGTGGAGCGAAGAAGTACGAAGCTGAGTTGAAGCGCATGTATAACATGGATGGTTCTCTCTCGTCCACCGCGGGTGGCTTTCAAGCGATGACTCAAGATTTACTCACGGTGCTCAATGATATTCCGTTCTCGATTCCACCTTATTTCGCCCTCCTCGGTCGCGCCGTGGTGACTCTGGAGGGGATCGCGCTCATCGGCAATCCGGATTACAGACTAGTCATGGAGGCATATCCATTCGTTGCGCGTAAACTGCTGCGTGAAGATCGTCCGGAGGCGCAACGCGCGTTGGAGGAGGTTCTATACGCCTCAACGCAAGGCGGCGGCTCAATCTTGCAGGGACAGCGACTCGCAGTGATGTTAAACAGTGCCATGGGCATTGTCGCCAAGAGTGAAGACGTTTTCGTTGACCTGGAGACCATTCCGGAAGATGCCGCGACTTTGGATCAGTCTCTGAAGTATCTGATGCAACCCCAAGCGGCGAGCTTGAGAAATTTGCTGGAGCGTGAAGCTGTCACGGCGGCGGATTTGCTATTGCGTCAAGCCTTGCGCAAGGGCGTCAACCGCTTTTTCGCGCAATTTCCCAAGCCGCCGACGTGGTTACCGTTCTCGAATGCGTTCCCGAATCCGCGCGATGTAACCGGGCCAGTGTTGCTTCCGGTTAGCGGAAGCGCGACGCCCGTTCCCGCTTTTGCGTCTCCTGGGCAATTGTTGGACCTAGCGGCGCCGCAGCTCGATCTTGAGGAAGAGGTTTTCGCGCTCGCACTTGGGGACTTGGCCGGTGGTTTAATCGGTAAGGACGCCGCAACTGTACTCACCGGTGATGCTTTCCTTGAACCGGAGGCGGTCGCTGCGCTGTTTTTGGGCATTATCTCCTCCGGTGAGCTCCCGATCGGAACGAGCGAAGACGTTCGCCGAATAGCGGCGAGTGCGCGCGATTCGCTCCGAACTGTCACTCCGAATGGTGAATCCAGCGAGGAACAAAGCTTTGAGAACTTGATCGCAGCCGTTCAAAAGCTTGACTCTGAAGAACGCGCGGTGCTGAATAAAGCCACCGAACGCGTCATTAGTCGCGTGTATGAGAGATTCTGCGAAAGGTTGGTGCCGTTGACCGGCGGTCCCGCTGTCGCAGCGCAAGAAAGTGATGACAGAGTTGCGTTGAACGCTCGATAGGAACTGTACACATTGAAATATAATTTGCATTAGCATTCGTTTATTAAATCTATTCGATCTAACTCTATCCGCTTTGATGCAAGCTGGCGAAGTACTCCTTGTAAAGCCCTTCGCGCAACTTCATGAAGCCGGTTATATATTGCTGATACTGCTGGAGTTTTGCCAGCTCCTTCTTCGTGAGTAGAGTGTGCAATTGCCACACCGCGTTCTTCACGTACGTAATCACGGCATAGATCACCAAACACAATGCCAACGCGTACGCGCCGCCGTGTTTGATGCCCAACCAACGAACCTCAGCCTCTTTTGAGAGCAACAGCTCAAGCTGTGGCGCGCTCGGAAGGAGCTTGCGCAGACCGTGTGCAATAACGGGCGTCGCGCAGACTTCCTTGACGGCGATATACAGAGAAAGAAACATCACGACCCAACCAATAATCATAAGCGTAATGCCTCGCATGGATCGCTTCATGTTATCCACCTTATGCGCGTCGTTGGTCTTGATGACTTCTTCGATGCGCGCGCCGATGCGCGTGCAGTCCTCCTTCATACTCGTGAGATTCTTTTGTACCGTCAGGCGAATCGCTCGGTCTATATCTTCACAGACTTCTTCGATCGCGTTCGGAATCGGAACGGTCAAATCGTCCCTGGGAAGATAAACAGTCGGAAGCTTGAACGCGTGCGAGTTTTTGATGCGCGAGCTCAAGTTTTGTGTTATCTGAATCAACACTCGTTGACGATCGTGTTCCTTTTCGACTTGATCCGCCTTGGACATGTAGTAAGCCAACTTGTCCGCGTGGTTTTCGTTCAAGCTCTCGATCACCTTCATCGTGCGCTTACACAGCGCCTGACCGATCGGATCGAAGAAGCACAAGATCAAGTCAACGTGGTCGCCGAGCCAGTTGATTACCTTGCCGACGTCAAACGGGTACTCCATATCGCCGTCCACCAACCCCGGAGAGTCCAAGAAATCGACGCAGCTGAAATTCTTTTCCTTGCTCGTCGATATCTCCGTGAAGATGTTCGCGTTCAATCCCTCCATGTCTTGCACACCCTCGAGATAGTCGTAAAACGCAAACGTCGCGTCCCCCTTCAGCGTCTCGCGCTTCCTCCCGCTCGTCACGAACGTGAACCCCCGCGTCTCGATCGCCACCCCAGTCGTCTGCACGCTCTCTCCGATGTACCAATTTATGAAAGAGCTCTTCCCCGCTGAGTGATTCCCGATGATCATGCAGTTTACCTTTTTCCTCGGCTTGAAGCACTTCACCCGGAGCAGCGGGTCGTTCGCGATGTCCAACAATCCCACCCCACCGCGCGACGACCCCGCGTTCGACCCACCGGGTCCGCGTTCGTACAACTCATGGATCGATCGCAGAATCCGCTCCTGCGCCGCGTTCGCGCCGTCGCTCGTCGTCAGTCCACGTCCGTCGTCGTCGATCTCGTCGCATCCATCCGTCCCGTCCCATCATCATCGCGTCGTCGTCGTCGCCGTCGTCGTCGCCGTCGTACGTTCGGTGACGTCGCTAGCGCCCCGACGTCGTTCGACGTCGTCACGCGCTTCGCCTTGCTCATCGTTCGCCGGCACCGCCACCGCGTCGCGCGATGACGATCGGGACGCCACCGATGCCGACTCGACCGTTGCCCGATCGATCGTCGGTGTCGGCACAGCGCCGCGCGACGCCGGGCGCGATGACGAGCGCGAGCGGCGACGCGGACGCGCACGTCCTCGACGCCCCCGAGCGCGCGGAGGAGGGCGCGCGGCGACTGGTGCGCGCGCTCGCGTACCCGGTGACGCGCGCGTCGGGGTCGTGGCGCGCGTTCGCGATGATGCGATTCTCGTGCCCGACGTCGGCGTCGGAGGCGACGAGCAGGGCGAGAAAGAACGCGATGAGCTTTGGGTACTGTTACGTCGTGGTCGTCATGGCGGTGACGGCGGTGCTGGCGGTGAGACGGGTGGTGACGGCGGCGGCGCTGGCGGGATGTTATCTGGGACATCACTACGTCGTTCGAGCGCGACGAAAGCCGATCGAGGTCGGTGGGAAGACGGTGAGCGTGAAAGTTCAGTCCTTGACGATTCTCGTGGGGACGATTCTCGTATTTTGGTCGTTTTTGACCGAGGTGATCGCGCGCGGGTGCATCGCGGGTGGCGTCTTCGCGCTCGCGCACGCGACGATGCGCGTCCCAGAGGCGAAGACGGATGAGGACGAAAGCGGCGAGATTCCGTTGCTGCGAGATTTTGCGCACGCGTACCACGAATCCGGTTTGGGGTCATACGTCCCGCCGGCCGTCTCGGCCGCCGTGCGTGGCGTCTTCGCGCGTAAATAGAGGTGCAATGACGCGCTCTGTTTTGTAATCTTCCAACAAAGTCACGTAACATAACACGATCAACGGTGGGGTTGTGAGAACAGTACGCTGGGGTTACACGATGGACACGCGCAAAGGAACAAAACCGTCTAGTACTTACTTGATTTGACCTCTGGTTTGAACACTCCCCCGCCTTCGAGCGCGGCGAGGTACGCGCCGGCGATGCACAGCGAGAAGCACATCACCGGGAAACCGACGCGGAAGAACATGTTGAACGAGATGGGGAACCCAGCCTCTGCGGCGATACCGGCGATGACAATGTTTGCACTCGATCCGATCAGTGTACCGATCCCACCGAAATCCGCACCGAAACAGAGCGCCCAAGCCAGTGCCTCGATGGCGATACCTTCGACGCTCTCACTCAATCGAACGATGACTGGAAGCATGGTTGTCGTGAACGGGATGTTATCCACGAATGCGCTCGCGAAACCAGCCACGAGTTGAACGATCAACATCGCTCCGATTTGACGCTGACCCTCCGGGAAGGAGGCGACGAGTCTGGAGAGTTCATCCGCGATGGCGCGTAACAAACCCAGTTGCGCAATGCCCTCTGTGAACACAAAGAGCCCAGCGAAGAATAGCAAGGAGTCCCACTCGACCTTTTCAAGCGCGTATTCAAACTCATCATGATTGCCCGTCAGTAAGATGGCGATCGCACCGAACGACGCGACGTATGCCGGCTCCATGTGGACCACCGGATGCAAAAAGAAGAGAAGAACGACAAAAAGTAGAATAGTTCCGCTTCGAATGAGCAAGTTCATATCACGAATCGGATACTTTTTGCGCAGTTCATCGATGTCCACGTTGATTTTCTGGTTAAACAGCGTGTCCTTGTAGTACCATCTCATGAACGCGAAGATGAATGGCATCGTGAGGATGACGCCCGGCCCGAGCACTCGCAAGAAATCCACGAAGCCGATGTACTCCTTCAACGCGTTACCGATGATGATGTTCGGTGGATCACCGATAAGCGTAGCGCACCCACCAATGTTACCAAATATCGTCATCGGAATCAACAGCGGTCTCGGGTCGATCTTCAAGGCTTTACACAACGAAAGAGCGACCGGTGCGAGAAGTAGCATGGTCGTGACGTTATCAAGGAACGCCGACAAAATCGCGTCAAAAATCATGAGCATGACGAAAAGTCGCCACATCGAACCTTTAGAATGGTGCACGATGAGAACAGAGAGGTATTCGAACACTCCTGACCGGCTTAGCAAGGCGACGATGATCATCATGCCGAAGAGAAGCGCCAGCGTGCCGTGATCCATCCAGGTCAGAATGGTCGCAATGTTCGGCAAACGGTGCTGCAGAGAAAGAATGAATAATACTGCAGCCGCTCCGAGGAAAGCGACGAGAGTGCGGTGAATGATCTCGGTCATGATCAAACCGAAGACACCGATGAGTAAAACCAAACCCAACCACATTCCAGCGACGCCAACCAATCCCGTGTCGACAGCCGTGACAGAGATTGCGACGGGATCCGGGCAATCCGTTGTGAACTCCATCCAAGCGCTTCCGTGCGTTGATTTATAATCGCTCAGGATGTGGGTTGAAAAGTAAGATTTGAGATGTTTGCTCACGCCGGCGCCGCCACCTCCCAGGAGTTTGCGTCGATGGCCGGACTCGCCGCTCCAGTGCGGCGTGACGAGTTGTGCCGATGTCGCCAACTGGTAGACGTGACCGCTGTGATTTTGATAAATGGAATACGATACGTGGTACTCGCTGGCGTTGTAAATGCAAGGTCCGAGGAGAAGATTTACCTCCATTTGTCCCTCGCTTGCGT